AAAAACCTCATTTAGAGAAAATTAATAACTTGAAAGTCTGTATAACTTTGTTCAAATTCTTATATTTTTTTTATCCACCAAGAGTAGGAAAAAGACAATTGAACCTAAAATAGAATAAATGGCTTTCCAAAGTCAAATTACATAATGACATATAATATTCTATTGTTTCCAGTTTACCTTATTTTTAGTTTCTGAACAAAGCATTAAGAGAAAATGGATCACTTCCAGGTCACACAAACTCATGTTCACATTTCTTATTGCTTTATGCTGTAGTATTTTCTCATTCATCTTTTAGATCTGAACTTGGGAGAAGTACAGGAAGAAGGCTAAGCTGCCAGGAGTACATTCAGTGGGATTCAGTAGCACCACTGTTCAGTTTCAGGCTGTCTGCACGGTAGTAGCCAGGACACAATATTTCTGCAATTAATCTTTCTTATGTATCAATGATACTTTGCAGAACAGAACGATTACCAGTAGTCACTTGCTATTTTCCCTCATTCCTAGCCAATAAGCTCGGCCAATGAGCCAGAAGAATTCCAATTGAAAACCAAGAAGAGGCTAGCATTTTCCTTTTCTTGTTATGGTCATTTCCTTCGGCTCACTGGGTTTGGATGGAGCCTATCTGATAAAATATAGACTATTTTATTGCTAATAATTATAAATACTCCTGATCCACATATTATTTTAGCCATACTACACTCATGGTCATGATAAATGTCTATTTACATGCATGTATGTTCTAGAGAAAACCATAGCTAAATACAAAACACAGAAAGAGATTGACTTTCCAAAGCACAACATTATGAAGGAACATTATCCTCTATTTTTAGAAAAGACCATAATGATGTTCAGAAGCTGAATGGCAGGGAGCCATTCTCCCCGAGCCTCCAGCAGTAATTCATATCTTTGATAGCTCTGAGTGAGTTAAGCTTTGTCTCTGTCATGGCAGCCTCTTTATACCTGGATGAAGATATAAATCCTGGGGACACCAGAAGCAATAGAGCCCGTATACTATGCCCTTCATGCCAGCAGCAACTTGTGACAGCTAGAAACAGAAATAAATGTAAACATCCTGACTACTACTGTGTTCTTCAGGAAGCAAAACTTTATTTCACTGAGTTCTCTTGACAGGGGATAAAAAAATGAATGCCTGATCATGAGAAGATTAAAAACATGTTACTTGTACACCTTGTCAGGAAAGTTGGAAAGCCTTGTGTTGGTGACTAAATGAAACAATAACATCCCAGTGCAGAGTATTGACCTGTACATGACTTCTACAGAAACCAAAAGCTCTAGGCGTGGGGGGGGCATGAGGCCCTTAAAATGAGTTTTGGGGCCCAGCAGGTGGCATGGTGGTTAAGAGCACTGGACTCCCACATGGCCAACCGTGGTTCGAGTACTGGGCCCAGTGGCTTGCTTTCTCACTTTCTCCCTTTCTCTCCCTCTGGTCAAATTAAAGTAAATAAATAAATGAATAAGTAAAATAAAATTCAATAAGATAATTCTTTAAAAAATGAGTTTTGATACTCTGTAAGCCTCCTGGCCCTAAGTAGATTCTTCACAATCTGGGGATGGGAGAAGTAATAGGAATGATTTCCAGCTTCTGCCTCTCAACTATTAGGTGTTAAGACAGGTGGATACCTTCCTCTTCCAACTAGGCTGGGGCAGATAAAAACAGGTCTTCACTTTTCATTCTAGTGGAGTTCTTCCTAGCACAATGGCCTCACTTCTGAAAAATGGCTTTAAACACTCTTTTCAAAATTATGTCTCCTTTTCACCCTTTCTATCCAAGAAGAGTAAAGACAGGAAGCTCTTTCTAGTGAATTTTTTGGACTAGGCCTCAGTTTCACTAGTTATACTAGGATGCTACCTAAAACTATCACTGTTACATCCTCCTCATACTTCCGAAACCCTGAGGGCTAAAAGAAGAACATTGCAGCTATTATGTTCTCATTCTGCTTTATATCTCCCAGTTCCCATGATCATTCCTTGCAAGAGAGCATTCAACAATGGTTGAGTAACATTGTGATTCTGTTCTATCTGTATTCTTATTTGTTTCTAGAAAAGCCTCTCAGATTTTATTGCATTCTATTTTGTAGGAAACAATGAGATTTTATAATTTTTTCTAGGATGTTCACATCTTACCACATTTTAAGATTCAAAAAAATGTATAGTTATGCATTCACATAATTTTATCAGCTCACAAGATCGGAGAAAGTCAGAAATGATTCTAATCATTCTGGAAAGACATTCATCTTCTTTTAGGACAGTAGTAGGTATAGACCATCCCATGATTCATTAATAGTCTGCATTTGCTTACTGAAGTATCTCATGTCCCAGGAATGGTGTTCGGCATATGCATGAGGTCTTCAAAAACTTCTGGAGTAATGCGTATTATGCGCTCACCAGAGAGAAGCAGAGAGAGGCAGGGAGGGAAAGTGAGAAGTCATCCCTAGGGATGGTGAACATGGTGGTGGTCATCCCTGCGGGGGATGACCATGTAACAGTTCCCTCTCCTTCATTCTCCTCTCAGGATACTGGGCACACAAATACATATGCCCAGCATGATTTTCAAGCCACCAGGTTCAGGGTTTAAACCATGATTGGATATGTGGGAGTCCAGAGATCTTACTACCACATCACCTGCTGGTTCCCCAAAATATGTACATTAATTCCATTTTTCTAAAAACTTTTTTAAGTCCTCTAGTGAAAAACACTCAATGCTCTTTAAATTATTGTTTCAAACATTTGAGGTTATACATAATAAAAATTGGTACTCATAATGGCTATTGTCTATTTATGTTTCTTTTTTTCATTTACTTTCTATAATTAAACTAAATTCACAAGAGGAATTCTTCATGGGTCAAACACATATCCAACTGTAATACATCCTAAATCACTGACCACATAAGGCATACATTCAAGTGATGACATCAATCAATTTATTATGGATCAATTTGCAGCCAAGCATTCTCCTAAACCTGTCTAATGATTTGGCATGATACTTGAAAGGACTCGCTAAAAATTTATTGGTGTAGCTTGAAATAGTTTCTTTCCCCCCCTCCATTCTCTACCTCAACAAAGAGAATACTGTTTGCCCTCTGAACATATAGATTTTATAGTTTAACATAGTAATGGATAAGCTTGCCAAGAATCACAGTTTTTAATGAACCTTTATTAAAACCATTGCTGTGCTTTAGCTTTCATTATATGTATTGCATTTTTAAAGGCCTATTCTATTTAAATTTGTCTAACTTTTGTAATCAAAACTTGAGTATTGACTTGGAGATATATTTTGTATCACATATTGTCTTCTTTTCAAAAGATTTGCATTTAAATAGTTCGATTAATAACACTGAAGCAAAACATATGTAATATGTAAACTTTAAAAGAAATTCATACTAGTACCAAAAAGCATGTAGCTTTCATATACGGTATAATGTTTTTCAGCAAGCCAAGACACTGAATCAAGTTTTTTAAAAGTATTAGCTTGGAGCAGTACCCATAGCACCAGAAGACTAGTTTTGTAAATCCTATATATGAATTTAAGATTTTCTGGTTTATAGAAGAAACCAAAAAGCAACATTTCAAACTGAGACTGGAAAAAGGTAAAGTTCTGTATGCAATAAAAACTTAGCTGTTTTTATTGACCTTAAAGTGTCTAATAATTAACCCAGGATACGATTTTCTTCCAGGACAAAATTGGATGTAATATTATTTTTTAAACTATCTCCTTTTGGAAATGTGTTATATATTATCTAATAGAAGTAAGTTTTCACTCTGCTATGTGACTTTCTAATGAACATGGTATCACTTATATTTCTCTTACAATATTATGACTTTAGGCTAGATTGTTTTTTTCTTCTCAAAACAAAGTTAAGAAAAAAAATTTAAATCAAAGAAAACAGAGTAATGGATAAAATATATTTTATTTTTTCAAGAGTTACCTGAATTTGCTAGATTTTTTAATTTATTGTACATTTTTCCTCTGCTTTTTGAGCAAACAGATCCATATTTTAATTTTATTCTAGGCTTTAAAAATTGTGTTGCTATCCTGATCAAGATCTTGCATGTCTAATTTTCTACCTGAAATAAACAATAAGCAGGTCCTTGTTCCTGTTTGGATTAATATTTAGAAAAGATAACTGAAAAAATATAGTATATATACATGGTAATTGACAGTATATTATTACAAAATAAAAGCTTACTCGTAATACTACAATAAAGAATATTAGAGAGTTATTAGAATTCTTCAAAGAATTTAGAATCTTTGCTTTTTATACCTACTACGACATTGCCAAGACAGAGTCACAGGCTTAGAAATAAAAACTAGATTTTAAGATTTGAACATTAATTTAAAATAATGCCTTAGATAAACCAATTATTGAGAAAAAAGGCAATTAAAATATTCTTTCCTTGTAATTTTTGACACATGATAAAATGTATCAGCAAGTGCTTTAAATCAATCAGTCATGAAGCCAATTTTGTTTTCTTGTGTGACATATTACAGGTTATAAGAAATGTCAGAAAAAATATGATTAAATAGATTCATCCTTAAAATTAAATTTAGCATAACATGAAACTTTTTAGAAAATATTTGTATAGGAATTATTAGGTCTATAGGTACAAAATGCATATTTTAAAATACTGTCTCAGAGGCTTATTCCAATGTTGTCACAGGTTATAAAATATTCCTAATAGCCTAGGCTAATCATACCATCAGAATTATACTTTTTTTTTTAATTTGCCATGCAAGCATACATTCACCAGAGAGACAGAGACATAGGGTGCAGCAGAGGAAGAAAGCACTGCAATTCATTCCCCTCCATTTCTCCATCTTGTTGGAATCTCGTACATGCACACACACGCACTTGGCATATTTTCAAGCCACTGAGTCTGGAATATGAACCATCTAGTAATAGGCCATGAGAAATCCAGCTCTCTTAACCAGTAGACCATGGGTCCAGCCCAATAATGATATTTTATTGTATTTATTTAATTAAGATGTGGAATATTTCACAAATTTGTGTGTCCCTCTTGCACAGGGGCCATGGGTAGTCTCTCTGTGTTACAATCGCAGTATATGTGCTGCTGAAGTGAGCACAGAATGATTTTTAAAAATCATTATATGTATTTTAAATCATTATATGTGAGAGAGAAAGTGAGAAGTCACCTCACAAGGAGGATAGTCATGCCACAGTCCTTTCTCCATTCTCCTCTTAGCATATTGGGCACTCATGCAAATATGCTTTGTGACATTTTCAATTGCCTGGTCTGGGATTCGAACTGCCCTTGACTATGTGGGATTTCAGCTCTTTAACCACTGTGCCACCTACTGGTCCCCAAAATGATAGTTTTAAAAAATAATTTAGAAAGAACATGTGTATGCACATGTAAGATAAAGAGAGATGCACCCTCAACAGGATCTTGTCATGCCCTACTCCTTCCCCTAGGCTTCCAGCTCACCAGGATCTTTGGCACATGTGCATGTAGTGTGTTCAGGCTGACTTAGAATATGAATCTATAGGCAGTCACGTGGTTCCTAGTACTGCAGTTCAGTTTGCTGCCTGTGCCATTGGGACTGGGCCAGAGTACTATATATATATTTTTTTTTCCAGAGAGGTTTTTGCTATAGGGCACACATGCTCACCAAAAAGACAGAGAGAGACATAGAGACAGAGAGACAGAAAGTAAGATATCACCCCACCCACCCCCCATAGGGGATGGCCATGCAATCCCTTCTCCTACGTGCTCCTGTCGGGATTTTGGGCACTCACGCACACGTGACCAGTGTGAGTTTAAGCCACCAAGTCCGGGCCTGGAACTGCAGTCGACTACATGGGAGTCCAGTGACATAGCCATTATTCCAACTGCTGGTCCCAAAGAGTACGACTTTTAAATTGATAAATACCAAACACTTATCAAGAGTAATTGACAATGCTTTCAGTTATCCTGATTGAAAATGAAATTGTTGAAAGTATACACTTTAATAAATGCATTAATTAGCAAATGAACCAAAAAGAATCTCATGATTAATCAAGATAGCATTGGGAACCAGCAGTTAGCGTAATGGCTGTGTTGCTGGACTCCCACGTAGTTGACCATGGTTCGCATCCCAGACCCGGTGGCTTAAAGCTCATGCCGGGCGTGTGTGCGTGCGTGCCCAAGATCCCCAGAGGAGAATGGAGG